CCGCGACTCACCCCAGTCCCCGCAGCAGCCTGGCGAACTCCAGCAGGCAGGTGTCCGCAGGGAGGCGCAGCTGGCCCTCGGCCAGGGCCAGCTGGCAGTCCTCAAACGTGTAGTCGGTCACGGGGACGCCCAGGGCCCTGCAGGCAGAGGGGCGCTCAGGACGGCCCCGCGGCAACACCCCCAGGGGCCTGGGGCGGGCGGGGGGGCGGGGCGCTCACTCGGCCATGACCCGCCGCACGTTGCGGGCGAACAGCGCGGGGTCCTGCTTCTCCTCCTCCGAGGGCCGGTACACGGGCAGGAACTGCGGGGAGCCGGGTCAGCCCCATGCCCGGGTGCCCCGGCCACCGCGCACAGGGCCAAGGGGCGGCGCGTCCACCGCAGCCGGCCCGGAGGGGCGTGACTGCCCGGGCTGCAGCGAGGCTCCCGCGAAGGGGTGCCGGGTCAGGCCGCACCCCCACCCCAGCCCAGGGCTGCCGGGGCTGCGGTCAGGAGGAGGACAGGGCCCGCGCTCACCTCGACCTCCACGCGGCTGCAGGGCTGGCACAGGGTGAGCCACAGGATGGCCAGCCTGTGGGGACACGCAGGTGGGGCTCGCCGGGGCCCAGGGCCCTCTGCAGACTCGGCCAGCCCGGCGTGCCCACCCTCCCTCCAGGGACGCCCCTCCTGCCCCCCCGCCGGGCAGGTCACCCTCGGTCTCTCCCGAGGCCGCGAGGCCGAGGTCTCGCCAGGGCCACCCCAGCCCAGTGCTCGGCCGCCCAGGGTGGGTGGACACGCGGGGCGACTCACGCGCCAGGCCCTTGCCACGTCCATGTGATGGTGTCCTGCGGGAGAGGGGGCGTCAGCGCAGGCCGGCCGGGCCCCCCCGCGCCGGCGGCCCGACACTCACCAGCTTGTTGGGGTAGCGCAGGACCACGGGCTGCACGGGGACGCCGGGGATGAAGGCGCCTGGGGGCGGGAGGGTCCGGCCTCCCCGCCGCCGGCTGCCACCACAGAGCGCTGGAAGTCAAGGGACACGGGGGAATCGCTGCAGCAGACGGCGACCGTGCGCATGTCCCGGAAGGGGCGTGCTTGTGCTGCGGGTGGGGCGGGTGGGGCGACTGGGCTCTCGTGGGGTGCGAAGGAAAAGCACCGGGAAGCGGCTTGAGGAGGACTGGCCAGCCAAGTGAGGTGACCGCTGTGGAGAGTGCCGCTGATGCATAAGGGAGAGAGGCCGGTAAGGGTGAGACCTGGGGGCCCCTGGGGAGGGTGCCCATCTAGGGGCCCGCCTGCAGTTCTGGGTGGGCTTGGCCACAGCTGTGCCCAGTTCGGGGTTTCCCATCAGCCTCTGAGATCCTGGGAAAGGGCAGAACAAGTGGCTTGTCCAGGGCGCAGGTAGCCAGCAACAGAGCTGACTGCGCGAAAGCCAAAGGGAACTTCCTGGCCCAGTATCCAGAATTGATGGGGAGCCTGGAGACCTGGCTTTGAAATAGGCAGAACCCAGGGGCGCTTATGGGGCCTGGGAGGGGACAGCAGAGCCATGGGCATCGCTCCCGGCGCGGTGCTGGGGCTCCGGCCAGCCCTGGACAGCTGGCCTCCCTTCCCGAGAGCTGCACTCAGCCAGGGCTCAGCCTCGGGCCGAGCACCAGCAAGCTGCTCTCGGCTTGGGAGGCCGGGCCCTGCCTGTGATCCCACAGGGAGAGTGGTTTTCCACCACCAGGAGACTCTCATGCAGTTAGGGAGGGTGGCCCCAGCCGCCCCAGGCCCCGAGGACACACTGCTCCGGCCCAGGTCTGTGGCCCAGAGTGCTGTCAGCAGGCGCAGGTGGTCCTGCCCCCACGGTACCCCTCAAAGTGTCCTTGGGACTGGTGGCAGGCGGCTGTGGACAAGGCTGTCGAGGCCCGAGAGGTACCCCGAGACCTAGCGCCCCCCACCCGTGTCACACGGGGGAGATCGGCTCGCAGGGAACAAAGTCAGGACAACGTTTCAGCAACTTTTCAAAAGAACCTTCTAGTGTCAGCCATTATCCGACGAGGAATCCATGTGTTTCATGGAAACTGCAATAGAAGCTGGGAAAATATGACAAGTTATGATAGACCGAGCCGGGCAAAAATGACAAGCCATGTGACAAGATGGTATTTTGGGGTTGGGGACAGAGTCAGAAATAATTACAGGATAACCAAGCGCAGCCTTGCAGCCCGCGTGCTGTGCTGCTGGGGTCTGGGATGTGCAGATTGAGGGGAAGGGGGGATCGTTTGACTCTAATTTCAAGCCTTGTTCCTCTAATGGCTCCTTGTGGAGTGACGTTAAATAATGATAATTATCACCGGGAGCTGTGTTTGAGCTGCTCTCGTGAACCGCAGCTGCAGCCGGGTGCTGCCATTTCTCCGAGATGGCTTTGTAACATCTACAGTTGTTTGCGGACTCTCGGCTAAACCGTCCTAACTGACTTGGGTAGTGTCACCACGGGGCGCAGGTGCTGGGGCTGGGCCTTGTCGCTCCGGCGTCTGGACTTGTCCTCACTGCGCCGGCCTTGGGAGACAGGCCCTGCGCTCGCGCCCCCACCGTCACTCCGCCCACCCTCTGCGTCTGCGGCCAGCGGCTGCTGGCGAAGCTCTGCTCTGTGCGGGCGCCGGACACCTGGCGGTCAGCACGGTGCCTGCCCCTCCTTCCCCCTCAGGGAAGGACAGAGGTTCTGAGGGAGGGGGGCAGACTACAGAGATGAGCATGTGGCGTGTGGGGACCAGAGAACGGACCCCAAGTCAGTTTGGCGTGGACAGGGACCCTGCAGGGGATGATGCCTGAAGGGGCGGGCGGCAGCGGGGAGTCTGTCAGAAAATACAGAGGCCGTTCCAGGCGGGGCCTTCTGGAGCGATGACACCGAGGCCTCGCGGGCAAAGTGCAATGTTAGGGAGAGGTGGGGTGCGGCAAGCTGAAGCAAGACAAGGTCCTGCTTATAATGTAAAAATAGGGCCTCCCTGGGGGCGCAGGAGTTAAAGTCTCAGCACCATGAAGCTTTTGCCAGCCACTGCAGCCTGAGTTCGATGCCCGGCCAGGGAGTGACCACAGAGCACAGCAGACCTCACCTGTCTCCCCACTGCTCCCTCAGCAGTGTGTTTCAGCCTGTTCTGCTCCCCACTCTGTCTGTTCTGCCTGTTCTGCTCCCCACTCTGTCTCTGGGGAATCCTCTCACCCCCAAACCTCTGGTCTACACCTCAGTTCTTGTATGCATACAAAAATAAAAAAAATTGTTTAAATAAGTGTGTTTTTCTGATTCCTGCTATCATACATGTGTAAAGATATCTACGATTCAGGTTTCGGTAGCCCTAGTTTTCCCACACCTGACCCCCCTTCTTTCGGGGGGTTCTTCTTCTCTTCATTTATCCCTCTTTTGCACTCTACAGAACTGGGAAGAATTGAAGAATTGAACGTAGAGCCTCTTACCCCTTCATCACTTACTTATTAGGTTACCAGCATTTGCCATCACTATATATTCTTCATAACACTAGATCTTATGGCTTTGATATTTCATCACAAAGATGAACCATCCTTTTTAAAACCACCGATGGTCTCTTTTCGTTTTTTTTTTTTTTTTTTTTGCCTTATAAACAACACTGCAATGAACACCAAAATAAAGCTTTTGTCTGTATTTCTGATGATATCGTCAAGACAAATTCTTAGAAGTCTAGAAGTGGCATTAAAGAATATGAACACTCTAAGTTCCCTAATACACATTGCTAATTGCTTTCTTTTTGGGAAAAGTTTACACCACCTTCCAGGCAAAGATGGCAAATCCGACACACTAATTTTGTTCCTGCTTCCCCCAACTACAATAAGGAGCTTTTTTTTTTTTTTTTTTTAAGGCACAGACTTGCAAGAACATGCGAGGAGAACAGCAGCACGATCCGGGAATCTGGGAAACAGATGGACAAGTGGTAACTGCGTTAGCAGATTTGAGAAGACTGAATCCCCAGCTGGCGGGGGAGAGCAGGAAACTGGCTGGGTAGACACAGCCGAATCCTCAGAACAGGCAGGAGGGGGTGGACCTAGGTGAGTTTCAGAGAAGCAGACAGATTCCCCCACTCCCCTGCCTGTCCCTCGGGGCTGCTCAGGGAGCAGTGACCTCAAGCCCCCTAGCATCCGTTTATTTGGACAGTATACTCTGGAGAAGGCAAAAGAGCAAGTCTACATTGGGCCAGCAGATGCAGATAGGACAGAGGTGTACCCACACCGATGGGCTGAGTGGTCCTATGGGACACCCAATTTTGCCCTCCCTAACTCCCCGAAACACTGACACCCGAGCTGGATCTCCCAGCTAGAGAGTGAAGGACTTTCTTTAGGGAGTGTGTCCAGCAAGAGATGGAAGATACTAGCCAATAGGCTTTGCAGATGAACTTTCAGGGAAGTTCATAGTTGGCATTCTCCACACACATGCTCAGTTTCCGAACAGATCTTTAGTTCCTCACATATAAGCCCGTGAAGACATCCAAGGATGGCCAGACCTCTAAAGAAATTCTCTAACACAAAAGAAAGAGGCCGAAGGAACTGTCCCATCAGAGAACATCAATCCCTACCTCACACCACACACAGTATCAGTCGGAAAAGGGACACAGAGCTAAACAGAAGAAAACCCCGGGGGTGGAGTGTTGCCATGAGCTTGAGGTAGGCAAAGACACACACACACACACACAAACTAATTATAAAATAAAAAAGTAACTAATTGCCATTTATTACCACTTAGACTTTCTGCCTCTTAAAAGTTAATACTTAGAGAATGAAAAGGTAAGTCACAGAATGGGACTAGGTATCTTCAATTCATACATTAAGACCAAGGGGGTCTATCCATATTGTACAGAGAACGCTGGAAATCGATAATCAAAAAAAACAACCAATTTATAAAAAAGAGTATTTGATGGTGAAAATCCAAAATAAGGCCTGGAAGATAAAACTGAAGACTCGCAGAAACACTGTCAGAATTTCAAGGATGGGAAATATTTACTGTGGTTCATGATCACTTATAGCTAAGTTGTTGATAAAGGAATAAAAATATGTGATTGGGAAAAAGATGAAATTAGTCTCGCCTGGGAAGAGTATCCATTTTCCCACACAGTATCCATTTTTGGTATTTATTAATTTGTTGAGATATAAAGGTGTTACTGCTTTATCTTTATTTTTCTGTTTTGCTTATTGTCACTGGCCATTTTTTCTTATATTTACGGTGTTTACCTTCAGTTTTGCGGCCCCTGTAATTCTGATTTTTTTGCCCCAGAAGCGGTACTGAGCGGGGAGGGGCAGCTTTTCACAGGAATGACCCTCATCTCCTTAGGTAAGTCTGCTCCCTCTACTAGAACCTGTCCCCGGGGGCAGAGGCCGTGGCTTGGAGCTAAAGTAGACAAAGAAAGAATAAACGCAACTGCTACAGAACCAAATGATTGACCTTCTAGTTTGTAATGAGTTTGTGTGCATGTCCTGTTTAAGGAGTCTTTGCCTGCCACAAAGTCATGGCAATATTGTTTCCTTCTGGAAGCTTGATTGGCTACCATTCACATTCATCTCTGTGGCCCAGCTCAGATCGATTTGGATGTGTTTGTTTTTCTTCTAATCACCTCCATGGCAAATATACAGGCAGAGAGTGGTGACCTTCTGCCCTCGTGACTGCTGTGAAGAGACAGCAAAGCTTATGACCCCATGTGGGCCTCCCTGGGGTTGGGTGGATACTTCAACCAGCTGGTCTGTACACTGGCAATTTTGGCAATATCTTGTTGAAAGATGCCCAAGATGGTGTGGTGAGAAGAGTTACTCAAGACCAACTTATAGCCTTCATTTGATGGTTTCCAAAGGGTCAGTATCTTTAAGGTGGTTTCCTCCCCTAAATGAATCATGCAATCATTGTCACCGGTGTTGAACAAGGACATCCTTTATCATCTGTACCACGTCATTGTTAGTAACACTGACAGTACCTATGTGCCCCGAGGGAAAACAGTAAACGGTGTCCCCTCACTTGACGGAGTATTATACAG